CCGAGGCGGGCGCCTCTGCTCGGGGGTGCCCCCAAACACGGGGTGCCCCTGTGGAAAGGGTAACCCTTGTCACAGCCGGGTGCCACCGGGCCAGACAGCTGAGCACCACCGGACACGGCTGGGCCCTCCCCTGGCATGCAGAGGTGATGCCAAACAGATCCACAACACCCTGCTCCAGACCCCCACATCCTGTTCCAGCCCCCCAGCACCCCACAGACCAGAGAGCTCAACCCTCGGGATTCCAGGCGAGCTCCCACCCTGGATCTACCGCAGCCCTCACTTGTGTCTCTTTGCCAACACCCATCCAGGCACCCACTCCTGTAGCCCCGTTCAGTGCTGGGGTTCCCCCTTGGAGCCACACCAGTCCTGCCTCAAGCCCTGCCAGTCACTTGGCCCCCACGTGTGCATGTGTTTGTACACATCCTCCCATTCTGTATCTTTGCAGGAACGCAGGGGCACACAGATGTAATTCTGCAGGTGTGTGTAAGTGTGGCCACGTGGGGACTGTGCCCTGGGACACCCCTTGTCCCACTGACCCTTCCCTGGGGGCTCTCTGTGGAAAAGGGGAAGGGTTATCCCCCGTGGGGACCTGCGATGCGGCAGCAAAGGGTGACCCCAGTGTCCCCCCAGAGCCCCATTTGATTTACCCACCTCTACCCCAGACCCATCCTGGATCTTTCCTCCCACATTGTTGACAGCCACGGCAGTGATTGCATTAATTGGCATTGGTGGTTCTGAGCAGCCTCACCGAGGACCTCCCCCATTCAGGTCACCTGGGGCAGCGGGGGGCCATTTAAGCTCAGGATAAAGTTGGTGCTTCTTGAGTGGACTGTGGCTACAGAGCTGCGACCCCTGGATCTTGGACTGATGGTGACAGCAACAGTGGCTATGGCTGGTTGGAGAGGACCATCCTGTCTTGGAGCAGCCCAGTTCCTGCTGTTCCCTCACATCCAGGTCCCGCTGCTCATGCGGGGGTCCTGGATTGCAGCAAAGCCAGATCCCTGAATGGAAATGGCATTTCATTCATGCCAGCCCACAGCCCAGTGAGAATATCCTGAGGGGGTGAGAGTGGCATTTTCCAGACAGCCCTGTGGTACATATTGCTGTTCCAGCATCGCCATAGCTGAGATCTTGTTGAAAGGTGCTGCAGAAGAGCATCAGCTGGGCTGGTCCATGAGGGAAGGCAGGTTCTTCTATTTTGGGAAGGCTCAGCCATGCTTTTACCTTTGTGTCTGGATCTGCAGAACATCGGTCCCTGCTGTCCCCTGCCAGAGCCAGGTTGGGACAGTGGTACCTGCTCTCCTGGCAAGGCAATTCTTTTTTTCATGCCTTTGCTGAAGAACCAGCTTGAACTTTTTCATGTGAAAGCTCCTGCTCCTGTGAAAAGTGCCTGGGAAAATAGGCAAGAGGCCCACGCTGAGATGTGGCCTGCTTTTCCCGTTGCTGAGCCCACGTGCCCTGCCCGTGGGCAGGGACAGGCAGAGCGTGGCACGCGCGGGGCCGGGGCTGAGCGAGGAGAGGAGCAGATGGGCTGTGTGGGATGTGAGTGGCACCGGTGCAGCGCTCCAGGAGGGCTCCCAGCCTGGCAGGCTGCTGGGGAGAGGCTGGAAAGGGGTCACCCTGGGAATAGCCCCACATACCCCACACCTGTATCTGCACAGTGCCTCACACCTGCGGGAGCTACTTGACTTGGCTGTAGGGTGGAGCTCTGTGACGGTGCCTGGGATTTGGGGTGTGGGAAGGACTGTCTGCCCATCCCAGGCAGGAGGAGGGCTGGATTTGTGCCAGCACAGCTGGGCTGTGGGTGGGACAGGGCAATGCTGTGGCTCTGGGCTCTGCATCTCCTTGGGACAGCTCTAGTCTCTGGTTCCCCAAGGGTGCTGCTTGTCACTCATCCCTGAACAGCAGGGGAAGGTACCCAGGACCTGGATGTGAGTGGGCAGGCAATGGGGTGCATAAGAGACCCCCCTCATCCCCTGCCATTGCATGTTGCATCCCCCCTGGTGAGCCAGACGAGTACTCTCCTTCCCCTGGCTCTCATCCCACCTTCCTTATCCGTCTTTTAGCAGCCACGTAATCTCCTTTCTTGCTTCCTTTGCAGCCTTTTGTCCAACACAAAGCCAACTCCACCGGAAAGAAGAGGCTGTGGGAGTGGGAAGCAGGGTGTTCTTCCTGCCCTGGCTCCTTAAACCTGGGCTGGGACACCTTGGGGATGATGCAAGGGCTGGAGGCCAGCCATGCCCCCCCGGTTGGATGTGGAGCTGGGTAGGAGGCACAGCATCAGGCTTCCAGCTGCACTGGGGCTGGCAGTAGAGGTTGTGTTGCATTGCCCACACTTGGCCCATGCTCTGGGAGCTCACCAGTCCCTGCCATGCCCTAGCTCCACACCTGGATACTGCCCCTGAGCCCTCCACCCCTGTGGGTGCCTAGTCCAAGTGCTGTGATGGAGGTGAGAGCTTTTCCTGCAGTCACTGATGGTTAAAGTGGTTTTATGGCGGAAAATCACCCTGTGTGTGTGCAAGTGGCCTGTGGTGGAGCACCTCCTGCCCATGCTCTGGAGGGACCCTGGGCAGCTGGAGCTGGGAACCACCAGGCCCTCCCATCCCGTCCAAGGCCTGGCAGGAATGGGGTCAGTGTCCTGGCAGGCAGTGACTGGATGTCAGGGAGCTGAAAGGAGGCAGGAAGCATCAGCCACAGGACCCAGGGCTTTCCCTGCTGCACGTCTGGAGGTAGTGCTATCACCTGGGGCTGGTGCCACAGAGCTGGGGGCTGCCAAGGCATGCCAGGAGGCCAGCGCGGGTGCCTCCATCTGTGTTGCTTCCAGCCCTGCCAAGAAACGTGAAATGGCACTTCTGTTTCACAGCAGTGGCAGCCACTGGGGGCCTCACTGAGCGCCTGCTGTTGGCACTGATGCTCTCCCTGAGTCCCCATCCCAGCACAGGGACTCAGGGACTATGTCACTGGTAAGGCTGGGGATGTGCACGTCCCTGGCTGCTGCTGCTGGTTCTCAGTAGCCACAGCCCAGATGGGGATGCCACTCTGTGTGCTGCCTGTGCCACAGTCCAGGTGTTTTGGGGGAGCAGAGACACACACTGGGCTGGGTACAGGCACTGGGGATGACCTTGTGGGACAATGGTTGTGGTGAAAACTGTCACTACAGGGCAGGGATGTTGGGGGACAGGTGTCCTGCTTGGCAGCTGTCCTGTGGGTGAGCCCAGGGCAAGTGTGCAGGAGTGGCGTGCTCCTCATCTTCTGCTGTTCCTGCAGCTGCTGCTGGGGGAAGATCAGGCTGTCCCTGCAGGGACAGTGCCTCCCCCTGGGAAGAAAGACAGGTTGTCATTACTGAGATGAGTTTGTCTGTCTGTGCACAGCCTGGGAGATGCCCTGTCAGGGCAGGTGGAAGGAGGATGGCGCTGTCCCCATTCCCCACATGAGCTGCCTGGGACACAGCTGCGATCCTGGCATCTGAGCAGATGGAGCCCCTCCAGCACAGTGCCTGGGGCAGGGGCTCCACGAGGGTCCCCTGCCGAGGCCCGGGGGTGACAGGGAAGAGCAGGAAGGGGGGGGAGCCAACCCTTCTGGGCAAACAGCCCTGCTGGGGTGTGAGGCTCCATCCTCGCCTGTCACCACATATCTGGTCACCATGACAACAGACAGGGAGGCAGGCAGAGCGGGCTGGCAGCCCTGGGGGGAGCGGGTGGAGGCCATGGGCATGGGCTGGCACACAGGGGCACCCTGTGGCTGTGAGGAGGCAGCTGTCAGGATGCGTGGCCTGTGTGACACAGAGGGAGGCTGGGCAGTGCTCAGCCCAGGCACTGTGAGCTCCCCACTGTCCTGCTCCTGGGCAAATACCCATGAGGGGCACACAGCAGGTTTGTCTGGGGATGTGGGCACTGCAGCATGGCCGGGCAGCCCCTGTGCTACCCCTGTGCCAGCCCGTGCCATGGATCTGGCACAGCAATCTCTGGCTGGTGGTGAGCTGAGGGGGTGAGTCATGCTGCTGCCCAGAGCCATGCCAGGCAGGACTGGCAGCTGGGGCTGCAGCCAGGCCACTGCTGGAGTGGCAGAGACCCGCGTGGGGCTAGAGTCAGGCTGTGCCCCAGCACCAGGGGTGGCAGCCTCCCTCCACAAGGGATGTGTTCCCTGCCCTGGGCACCTTTGGGGGCAAAGGGGAGTGGGGGGGTGCAGACCCCTCTCTATTGTCCTGTCCTAGTCTGGCTGCTGGGCCCTGGGGAACGAGGTGAGCAGTCTTGGGGAGCAGGGGCACCCCCGCCCTCCCCGGCCCACGCGCCCACTCGCGCCAGCAGCTCTTGGCATGCAGGGAGTGTGTTCCTGGCAGCCCGGCCCTCTCCCATCTGGTATTTATCTCCTTCCCGAAATCCCTCCTGCTGCGGGGGGGATGCCC